GGACATAAGGTTAAAATGGCTAATAAATTTAAATTAGCCTTATAAGTCCAAATAATTTTATAAATTTAATAAAAAATAGAACTTATAATTAAAACTTGTTAATAATAAAATTAAGTTTGTTAACAATTACTATCACTTTTATTAATAAAAAAACTTCAAAGTGATCAATTATTATATGTTTTACATGTCTCATATGTTGGATATGTCTGTAATCTGTAACAGATTAAGTTATTGATTTCAATCACCATTTTAAATTATAATAAAAAACTATTATATTTAGTAATTTATCATTATAAAATTAAAATTGAATATATAAAAATGACTTGATTGTATTTGATTATTCTTTATTTTTTTTAATTTTATAATTAAGTTTTTTTATCTAATATAAGTAAAATGCACAAATTAAAAGTTTAAATAACTTATAACTTCTAATAAGACTTACTGTAAAAGAGAACTAATTTTTTAATAAAATGCAGGTTATACAAATTTTGATATATTTTTTTTAAAAAAAAACTTATAAAACAGCATTAAAAAAATGCATGTGAATGATATTTTTGTTATCACATTATTTTTAGTTATTAATATTAACTGCCAAAATATTAGGCCAACATTATGAACTATATTAAGTAAATTCAAAAATTAGTATAATATAACAAAAATAAAATTTTCTGAATATTTGTCTTTATGAAAGAAAGAAAAATTCAACTTGAGTTATCTTTATTCAAAAGAGGTAGAATTAAGTAAAAAAAAAAGTATTCTTTAAAAAAGAATGTGTTGAACAATAGCATGGTTAAAGAAATAACATATTGTTTTTTTTGCTTTAAAGTAATTATAATATACTAGTAAATTATTTGTTTAGTTAATATCAAAAACAACTTTTGAATTTATGAGATTTTTTTTTTAATAGTTAATAACAGTCAAGTCTTATTCTGGGAATATAATCAAACAGTGATTTTGAAATTAGTGGCTTAACACTGTTTGACATGCTATAATTGGTATAAGTTGAATCATAAAATTAAAGTGCATAAATTAGCAGAAAACAATACATAAAATATCGTAATTCATTATTGTGGAGTGATGTTAAATCACATGATCGAAAAGTGAGGTGGCACATATTTAAGCCATACAACCGGCAGATGCTATTGATTGAAGGTTGAGAAGTATATATAAACAATGCAGCAACACATGTTAGTGATATACAGATTAGTGTCAGTATCATATGGCTAAATAATGAAAATGGTACATATTAGTATATATATATAAAATCCCAGAACAAGAAAATGAACTTTCTGTTGCAAAACCCAGAATGAACAATTTGCGACCACCAATTGGATGCCATGTGGTTCTGCCATTTTTCTACTCATCTATAGTTGGCAGTAGAATTTATTTAACAAATTAATATAGTTACAGTGTGTGCTGTATTATTTTCTGTAATTTCTTTGATCTGTAATGCCATAACTATAATGCCATAATGGTATAACTGTAATGCCACTATGTCAAAATACAATAATGCTATTGTATCTAGATACCATAATGCTATTGTGTTAAAATAATATTATTCTGCAATTAATATTGTTAGACAAAACCTAAGGTTTCGTCATTAACGAAAGTCGAAACCTAGTTTCGTCTTTTGTCAAAAAAAAATTGAAATGATGAAACTACAAAACTAACAAAAGGTAATAAAACTAATAAAAAATAATGAAACTGATGAAAGGTAATTTGTATTAGTTAGGTTTTATATATCATTTTAATTTTATTTTTGTATACTAGCATTGGGCATTAACTGCTCGATAGTTTAATTTATTATTCGATTGTAAGTTTGACTTTTAATTAAGTTAAATGTTGATTTAAAAAAAAAATTATATGAGCTGATTAGTAAATTTCTATAAAATAAGTTTAGATCTAAAAATATTGAACATTTATTTGGCATTTTGTCTGATGAATATATATTATCTGCCTATTAATAACTATTTATTACTTTTATTAGAGTTAATTTAAAAAATTCAGTGAGGTTAAGATTATCTCAAATAGCACAGCAATATCACGAAAACAATAATTATTTTTGTTCTATAATAAAAAAAATTTGAATTAAACAATTTAAGTCAGGTTTAGCTATATAGTTGTTATAAAATCACTAATTTGGATGCTACTAAATCTAGTTTTTTAATGTATTTTTTTTTGCAAATTCAAATGGAACAAGAAATTAACAATGCTTTTAAACAACTAAAATTTGATAATTGTAAAAATTTGCAAATAAAAAATGAAGCAAATGGGAATTATTAGCTTGGTTACTGTTATGAATTTGGAATAGGGTTGAAAAGAATGAAAATGAAGCATTCGTTAATTATCAAAAATCTGCCAACCTTAATAATTCAGACAGACTGTATCAAGTTGGTTATTGTTATAATTTAGAAATTAGAGTTGAGGTTAATAAGCAAAAAGCATTAGAAAATTATCTAAAATCAGCCAAGATGAGTAATTTAAATAGAATTTGGAAGACTACTTTCTGTTACTATTATGGAATTGGCATGAAAAATAACATAATTAAGTTTAACAAATGGATTGAAAAGCAAAATTTTCAATTTTTAGTAATTTAAAAATTAAAAATATTTATAGAATTTTAATAATTAAATTTTTTATTAGGGAGTAAGTATAAAAAAATCAGTTAATTACAATTAAGTTTATAAATATTAATTAATTGCTTGTATTAATTTAGCATGTAAGTATAAAGAACATTATTAATCATTGAAGTTTTGAACAACAAAGCAAGTTCACGAATCAAGAATATAAATACTTATTTATCATTACTATGATGTAATCATTTCCTTCACATTAATTTAGTTAATGAGTATAAAGAACATTTATTAATCATTGAAATTTTGAACAACAAAGCAAGTTCACAAATTAAGAAAATAAATACTTATTACCATTTTATTATATAATAACTATTATGTAATACCCTTCAAATCATTTTATTTACATTAATCATTCATTCAGTTGATAAGTATAAAGAACATTTATTAATCTTAAAATTTTGAACAAAAAAGCAAGTTCATAAATCAAGAAATAAATACTTATTTACCATTACTATTATGTAATACCCTTCAAATCATTTCATTCGAATTAATCATTCATTCAGTAAGTGAATATAAAGAACATTTACTAATCATTAGAATTAACAACAGCAAAAAAAGTTCACAAATCAACAACATAAATACATATTTATCATTACTATTGTGTAATACCCTTCAAATTATTTCATTCAAATTAATCATTCATTCAGTATGTGAGTTAAAGAACATTTATTAACTATCGAAATTTTGAACAGAAAAGCAAGTTCACAAATCAAGAACATAAATACTTATTTACCATTACTATTAAGTAATACCTTCAAATCATTTCATTCGCATTAATCATTCATTCAGTAAGTGAGTATAACATTTACTAATCATTGGAATTGAAAACAGCAAAGCAAGTTCACAAATAAAGAGCATAAATACTTATTTACCATTACTATTACAGTATATCAATGAATAACTCATGTACATAAGATTTTATAAAATGTAAATTGCCGAGTAACATCCAGTAAATGCAAAGTCTAATAAATAACAAATGACGGATAATATATAGTTATTGAATGCGAAGCATCCAATAACGGGAGTTATTTGTAAAAATACTCCATTATTTGGATTTAAAATTTAATAATGCCAGAAATGGTACGTTAAATTTAATGCCAGATAAGTAAGTTATTGGTGCTTAGCATTCAATAACGGTATTATCCGACAAACTCTTATTATCATAAATTTACTTCTGTCAGTTGTTTTTTCATGTGTTACGAAATATTCATGTTTACTCGAATTAAAACTCAATCAATAACTCCCTACCAATTATGATCATAACTTGTCGGATAACACCATTATTGAGCAAAATTTTTTGAATAGCGGTAATTTTTTCAACCGGCACGTATTCATTTGCCCGGTTGAACCAAATTACCGTTATTCAAAAATTTTTGCTCAATAATGTATACTTATAATAATTATTTTCGATCATTGGTGCACCATATACAGTCACGTGATAGATACAGATGGGAAGATAATCCTGTGCCCTGATTGGAACTTTTCTAGTACTGTAGTGTAACCCTTAAAACTTCACAATCGGAAAAATTCTTTAAAGTCCGGTTTATTAGGGCCAACGTGTTTGTTGTTTGCATTGCGATTGATTTGATTGTAATCTAAAGGGTAGAACGGCAAATTTGACCAGAATTATAAATAATCGAATCTAATATTGGATCAGAATTAAAATATCAAAATTAGCCGTAATGAGCAAAGTATATTGTGTAAACTTGCTTAAGGGAAACTCTTGTTAGAGCACAAAAGCCCACATATACTGTATTTATAAAGTATCGCATTGTGGCCCCATTATCACAGAATATAAATGACGAAAATTAATTTACACATGTGCGTACGTATGTACGTACGTGAAATTGTCATGTGTTCAAAGTTATCGTTATTAATTAACCGAGGTTAATACAGAATTATGTAAAGTTACATAAATTAGCGTTCGGGTAATTTAGTTTATGCGAAATTTTTTTTCAAAAATGGACATTTGTTTTGGATTTTCATGATCGTATTACATTACACCAAATTGCGAAATTTTTAAGTATCACTGATCTGCGGATTTTTATGTGATAAGTTGTTATATTGACTGCAGACTGCGATCATCAAATTTCATTGGATTTTTCTGCTAAGCATTTGCATGATAGTGCATTAACTTTGCTTAACGTTAAACAGAAAGGGTCCTTGCTACGCTTCGGACAATAACGAACATGCTATACTTTGCTATACTTTTGGCTTAGCCTGAGTATTTATTATATCGATGGTTACAGTATATCATTTCAAATTATTCACTCACTAGGAACAATTTTCATACGTAATTACGGAACCACACAACGATAAAGAATAATCGCTATATTATAAGTATATGCTAAATAATTAGCATTAATGGAAGTATTGCAAGTATACAATAAGGTATTTGATGACAATAAAGCAGAAGATAAACTAATTCAAAAAATGGAATACCTATTATGGATAAAAAGGCCGAATTATATGGATTAAAAAAAGATAACAATAAAAATAAATAATTAAATCACAAAAAATGGATAGCAAAGAAAAATTAAAAATACAAAAATTAAAGCAAAAAAAAATGAGAAAATATCAGAATGCTAATGAACTAACTATAAAACAACTTTAAACGAAAGTTCGAAAGAAGTATACGGAAAAAATTGTGGAAAAAGATTGCTACTGTATATTACATATTCGAACTCAAAATGAAGAAAGCCAAGTATTAGAAATCCGGTATGAATGCTCCCATAAAAGAATAAAACATAAACACTAAAGCAACAATCAAATGGATAATCCTTATCCCTTATCAAATAAGTCAAATAAATGCTGTCATAAAATCTTTTTGTTCACCTATCATATAGGTCAAATAAATGAGATTATAAAATCTTTTTGGTTAATATTCAAAAATATTGTAATTATTCTTATCGTTTCACTATGCCTTAAAGTGCTATAATGTTTCAATGTACGAATAAAATGGAAGAATTCTAGTCTTCATAACCTTTTTAATCATTGTTTTTAGTGTTGTTTGTATTACGAGGTCGATTGATCGTTACTGTCATACATAGTTAAATAAATATGTGAGGTGTTTACTAAAAAAAAACATAAATAATTAGTACACTGATGTAACACTATTTAGCAGGAAGTCCAACTAAAGGTACATAAGTAATCAGAGAACTTAAAATTAATGCAAAGCACCGCATAATATGAATATATTAAATTCGTGTAATAAATTAAGTTCTATATACTGTATTCCTCCAAAAATAAGCACCCTTTTTTTACTATAGAGGTGCTTATTTTTTGGATGTAAATCATTAATCTAGAGTTTTCATGCCAATCAAATTTATTTCCGGCTTCTAAACAAGGTTGTTCTTCAGATCGAGACGATTATAACAGTGGTATAATCATCAGAATTGGCTCGGTGAATTGTTCTGAATTGCACTTGAAGTTCGAAAATGTTTGCTTACATATGGCAAGATGCTGAAGAAAGGGATGAAATTGACAAAAAAATGGTTTGATATCTAAAATTTGTTTAAACCCATTTTCACTTAAAGAACAAAGGCTGTTATCCTAACAAATTTTGCAGTATAATTCTTTAAAATTATTCTTTAAAATTTTTATTTTCTAATAATTTATTATAGAATTAAAATATACAAATCAATTCGCAAAAACTTTTTTTTGCCCTTTTATCAGCACCAAGTCTATATGATCTGCAGATCATGTATACAAAAGGCAAATAACGCACCCGAACTTCGAAGTGTAATTGCGAACAATTCACTAAGCCAATTTTAATTATTCTACCACCTTTAAAAACCATTTAGATCGTCTCCACCTGAAGAACAATCTTAATTAGAAGCCAAAACTAGATTTACTTGGCGCAAAATGCTCTATGATTGCTTACTGTAAATTGGGTTCTCATTTGGGTTATATGTGAATTACAGGGGTGCTTATTTTCGGAGGAACACGGTATTTCCAATTAATTACAAAAACTTAATTGTATTAATTGTATGTACGTAAATCCAATTATTTGCATAAAACTGATGCACAAGAATAATATAATTTAATATAATTAAATATAAATTCATCGTAATATCATTTTTCTGTAAAATTACACCTTTTTTTTAAGATGAACTTATATTTATTACTCATATTGCAATTATTTGCAGTATTTGTCTATTCATATTCTCCAAATCCACGATCTGGTCATCTATCAGCATTTATCAATAATAAATTATATTTTATTAGTGGCTCAACAACACTGGATAGAACTGTTATTTCAAATGACTTCTTTTACATTGATTGCTCTATGAGCTTTAATGGTACAATTGATAGTATACCTTATACAAGTCTTTCAGATTTGCCTGGAATCCCAAGCATTGATGTATCTGGTTCTTCTGTCATTGGTCCTTATAATGATATAATATTAACTTTTGGTGGTATAGGAAAAAATAATAGTTATGGTTACCCGTTAATATACACTTATGATACAAAAAATTATACCTGGAATTCTTTAACAACAAATGGAATTAAACCACCTATAAGAAAAGGTGTTCGACCTACATATACTTCTGGAAGATTATATGCATTTGGAGGATTTAATTATATTAATGGAACTTATTATAATTCCATCGATCTGTTAGATACTATTGGTTTTATTTGGTCAAATATTACCTTATCAAATGCTCCTTCTGGAAGGGATGGTTACGTATCTAATTTATTGCCAAATGGTAATATCATATATTTAGGTGGATATTTATCTGGTCAAACTATTGGTTTAGATACTGTAAGTTTTTTTTTAATTTTATATAAATTGATCATTTTTATTATCTTTATTGAACTTGTGTTGTTCTTTAGGCTTATTTGTATAATACGAATAATAATACATGGAGAAATATGGTATGTTCTCTTAACTGTTAATATATATTTTTTTTTTTGCAATATGTAATATGCAGTAAAATTCCTTATTTTTTTTTAAAGACTACACTAGGTGTAACTCCTGAAAGTCGTGGCCATTTTACTTCTGTGTTAGGTAATTAAAATTCTTGATCATATTCTTTTACAATATTATTTATAAGTTACTGTAATACGTACTAAAATTTTTATCAAATAAATCAAAGGTTTAAATAAAAATCGATTGATTATATATGGAGGAGAAAGTACAAAAGGTTATAATCATGCTGCAACACCAACTTTAGTTGTATTGGATTTGAGTTCAGAACCTTTTACTTGGATTTCTCAAAACGTGTCTGGTGATTTTATACCACCTCCTTTACTTCTTCATACTGCAAATGTTGTTAATAATTATATGATTATAGCATATGGTATGTATTAATTATAACCTACTTTATTAAATAATATTAAACTGTATACGTATATATTTACATATTTTTTATTAACATATTAAATTATTAAATTACAAATAGGTTTTAATTATCAAACTAATTTATTAAGCAGTGATATCTATATTCTTGACATAAGTAATGATTCTGAATATACATGGGTTAATGAATTTAATCTAAATCTAAAAAATCCATCATTAATTAGCTTTCCAACTTATAAGAGTACATGTACAGATAACAAAGGTATTAGTTTAGAAATATTTATTATTTCACTTATAAGTGCTGTTGTCGGCACTACTTTATTAATTTTTAGCTTAAATGCTTGTTATAAATGGTACTTGGTTAATGGATTCAATAACAATTTTGTTGCAACTCCAGGAAGCAAATGAAATAAATAAAATAAAAATAAAATGCTATTTTTTTTTTTAAATATACATAAAAAAAACTAGTGTATATTTGGTAATTGACTTAACGTTAATTTCGGATTTTTGTCAATCTTCATTATTAACTCTATTTCATTATTTGCCATTATTTACGTAGTTAGAATCATGCTTCCTTATTTTAATTAGGATTAGCATCAAGGTTAACAAAAAATCCTGTGTCATGAATTTGAAAACGTTTCATAACGATAAGATAGTCTTCATGTTCTTGAGTGACCCTTGTGTCGTGGCATGTTACACATGGTCTGAACCCTGTTTCACTTTACTGAAAATTATGATTTTATTTTATCGAAAAAATGTAAATGTAGCCTCTGGCTAATACAATAAAATAATTGGTTTGCAGTTAGGGTTAGGGCAAGTACTAGATAGTTTTTTTTTTGTATTTAGAATTAGAGCAGACTCTATGTAGTCATGGCTATATATAGATTTATCCTATTATATCATAATGGAAAAAAAATGTTCAACAAACATTACACTGCATGTGTTTACAAATTTCTTTTAGTTATAATAGTAAGTTAAGGATTAGAATCAGTTTAGTCGACTAAAAAAATTGTATATTAAACTATTAATCTTAATCAACTAGACTGATCCCATCCCTGACAATAATTACTTCGTTAAACACATCAAATCTAATTATTCATTATTTCAATATATATAGCGCCCTTCTGACAAAGTATTCTTGTACTATATAGTATAATATTTATTCAAATTGGTATGCCTTAAGCTAGGGGTACCGAAAAATTAATTGCAATTAAATTGTATTATGCATAAGCAATTGCAAATTATGATAAAATTTTATAAGAAAAAAATTAAATTCAATTAATAACGTAATAACTACAATTAATTGCAATATTTGCATTAACTACGATTATTAATCTTTTTTTTTTTTAATTATAAATACAATTTCTGATACCAAGATCATTTCTTTTATCACATTTGCAAATCGCAATACAAATTGCAACTAATTGCGGCTGCGCCACAAATCAATTGATTGAGTTAAAAAATTGCAATTAATTGCCCCACAATCAATTATTCGGTAGGCCTGTCTTACACGACATGCTATCAAGCTAAATCACATAACGTGATAATTTACAAATTATATATGCTAAACCTATTAACATGTTAAATTGTCACCCTAAGTGATATCGGTTAAATGACTTGTCAGTGAAAACCATCCTAGCATTACCCTAAAAAAATTCTGCTATTCTGCCAGCCAATCAGTCTTCAGGTGTAATGTAGAAGAAATGCAAAAGAAAATCAAAACAAACTAAAAATCGTTCATAACTCAATATTTTACCTATGAACCTACCCTCTGCGCACTAACAAAAAGCATTCCTTGTGAAATTTTGGTGTTGATCTTTTTAGCCTAAATTAATAGCAAACTCTAATTATAAGCTGCAAGTTTTTTACGTTAAATTGTGGAGTCTCAGTAAAATGATTTGCGTACACATATTTTTGCGAGTGATACGAGTATTTTTATTAATATATTACAAAATTGCTTTATTCTTAGAATATTAACTACCTATTACATTACGAGGTTTTAGGAGGCTAAAAAAACCCCGAAATTCATTTTAATATAATATAATTTTTTTTTTAAACCTGATTGATCGCAGGGCTCTGGGGGGCGTACAAATCTTTATTACCATTTTTATTAAGAAGGTCTTCTTGATTTGTAATATTTCCATATTTTAAGAATTACATGAGTTAACTATCTATATATCGGTACATTAGCTATTTTAGTTAATCCTAATCACTAGCAATTGGATTACCAGATGACCCAACTACAACCGGGATCTTATCGGAACTGTTCTACAACCGGATTTTTACTAGATGACCCAATTACAACAGGGGGAACTGTCCTTTTCATAAAGCTTAGATTTTTCGACCAAAATTTCGCCGGAAGTGTTCTTATTTTGTATTTTATCTTGCAACGTCCCATGAGAATCTGTGGCTGACCATCAATCGTGATCCTGGCATATAGAATTATACATGGGTGCCTAAATTATTTTTGGCTTGCCGTAAATAAAAATTGCTGAAAATATTTTAGGTAGCCTAAACCGTAAATAATTTCGCCTGCCTAAAATATAGGATACGTATCATTTCATTGACAATCACTTCACTGAACAATAATTATTCAATTGTAAATATTAATCATCACCCTGTGTGATGGGGTGTTCATCAAAGCGATTGATGAAATGATATGTATTCATTATACACACGTACGGACAGACAAAAGTTTTCTAAATTGCCGTTTTGATACAATTTTTATAAGATTTATATGCAAATATATCAAAAAAATTATTTTTCTATGAAAAAATTGCACAAGAAACATAGCTTTAGCTATATATGGACGCTAAATTACCTTTTGACTTGCTGAAAATATTTTAGGCAGCTTAAACTGTAAATAATTTCGGCAGCCTAAAATATTTTCGACTGCTAAAATAATTTCGGCCGCCCAAAATAATTTCGGCAACCGAAATTATTTTCTAATATCGAAAATATTTTCTAATGCCGAAAATATATTCGAACACCATTATTTACATGTGTACCTAAAATATTGGATACGTATCATTTCATCGATGATCACTTTACCGAACACCCATCACACAGCATAAGGAGTAATATTGAACAATAATTATTAATTATTAAACAATCATTAAATATTAGTCATCGCTTTGCGTGATGGGGTGTTCGGCGAAGCAATTGTCGATGAAATGATACGTATTTTTTATAAATGCGTGCAAACAGACAAAGATTTTCTAAATTGCTGTTTTGATACAATTTTTATAAGATTTATATGCAAATGTATCAAAAAAATTACATTTCTATGAAAGAATTGCATCAAGCCATAGCTTTTGTATCGCCTTTTATAGAGATTGAAACTCCGGACGTTTAAATAGTCTATGATATTACTACGTCTGAAGGATTTTAGATAGCGAACCCACAAAAAATGATTGTCTTGTAATTTTTGACCAACAAAATTTAAAGATCGCGTGTAACATGATGGTCAAACTATAATTTGTTTTTCAATGTAAAAAGTTGTGTGTAAAATTTTACAAGAAACACTTTTAATTAGGAATAAATTATGGGTTTATTTTTTCGGCAACCGAAATAATTTCAGCTGCCAAAAATAATTACAGCTGCTAAAAATAATTACAGCTGCCGAAAATAATTACGATTGCTGAAAATAATTTCGGCTGCTGTAATTATTTTCGGCATTTAGGCACTTTGAAGAAGCTAAAAAATGCCGTAATGCTGTAAATCATCCCGAATTTAGGCACACATGTATATATTGTCGCGGGCTAATAGGGCGGAGCAACTGCGACGGATTGTCGCTCCAGATTCGTCGACGTCGCGTAACGTTACTCGAAAGCAAGACGAGGCAGATACGATTTGGCAATGGCTAAGGCGGCTCTCGAGTAAGTTACTGGGTACGTATAGGGACTTTTCAAATGAACGTTT